TACAATACTGAGGATTGGAACGCTAAAAACTCGTCTTATAATACTTGGCAGTTGCAAACCAGTTACGAGGACAGTAAAGGGACGCAGTAAATCACTGTTGAGGATTGGAACGTTAAAACTCGTCTAATAATACTTGGCAGTTGCAAACCAGTTACGAGGACAGTAAAGGGACGCAGTAAAACCACTGTTGAGGGTTGGAACGTTAAAACTCGTCTAATAATACTTGGCAGTTGCAAACCAGTTACGAGGACAGCAAAGGGACGCAGTAAATCACTGTAAAAAATTGTGATATCGTATTTTCTGAATATGATGCATTCAGAACTTGATTATTTCACAAAACCATTTATTTTTACATAAATATTTACGTTAAACAGTTACTGTATGGTAAACTAAAAGGTTTGTTTGTTTGTAATTAAGTACAAAGCTACACAATGGGCTATCTGTGCTTTGCCCACCACGGGTATCGAAACCTGGATTCTACCGTTGTGAATCAGCAAACATACCGCTGTGCCACTGGGGGGCACACTGAAAGGACAAAAAGTTCATAAATAAATTCACGCTTAGCAATTCGGTAAAGCTCGAAAAATGCTATATTAACAATAAAGAGAACTGGGCTTGTCCTAATGGTTAATCTGAGAATTCTGGGCTTTGAAGGTTCAAGGTTTGAACCGCGACATGACTAAACAAGATCCGTATTTTCCTTAAATTAGTTCTGATTATTATTCGATTAAGACAGTCAGAATTTAGAATTCACTGAAAAGTAAATGATGAAAATTACTACTTACTCAATTTAGTAGATGTATCTTATGCCAGAGAGAAGCTGTACTGTTTTCGCCAGGTGGTTAGGGCGCTTGCCTCGCCATCTGAGGGTCGCGGGTTTGAATCCCCGTCCTACCAAACATGCTTGCCCTTTCTGCCGTGGAAGCCTTATAATGTGACTGTAAATCTCACTATGCGTTGATAAAAGAGTAGCCCAAGAGTTGGCGGTGGATAGTGATGGCTAGCTGCCTTCCCTCTAGACTTTCATTGGTAAATTAGGGACGGATAGCCCTCGTGTAGCTTTGCGCAACATTCAAAACAAACCAAACTGTACTGCTTTCATCCTGTTCAGTAGTTCAAAATTAAAGGCATCTATATCTTAACTTTCGGGGATCTATTAATTGGCCCATCCATCAAGGTGTCGATAAGGTTGGAAATTACAGTGTAACCAATATATAAAGCTCTATGCCTATTAAGCGACCCCACTCTCCCAATTTTGATCAAACTGCACTAAATCACACTTTCAAACAAAGTGTGATTTCACACATTTATGATTGTCAATTACTGACGCAAGGTTATACACAGAGAAAAAAAAGATTTTATTACACTCAAAATAGCCCCCTCCCCCTGTGCCACAGCGATATATCTGCGGACATACAACGCTAGAAACTGTATTTAAATACTCGTGGTGGGCATAGCACAGATAGCCCATTATGTAGCTTTGTGCTTAATTACAAACAATAAAAACGCCCAAAATAAAATTATGAAATTTGAAGCCAGACCTCGTGCAAGTAATCTTAATAGTAAGTGTTTGTATTTTCTACTAAAAATTTTCGTTTCATAGTAACAATAAAATGATCTCCATATAAGTGATTTTTAACAGTTTTTTTTTCCGCATATTATTTTCACATACAACTTACCCGATTTTCCATTTCTTTTATAAGTTCACACCTTTGCATAAATAGCAAGAGTGTGAACTTTCATTTGTTCAAACTTTGATGGTTTAATGGTGTGAATTTCTGGAAGCACACCTCAGTAACACTTTCTTTTCTTAAAGTGATAGGAGCTGATACAGGTCGGACGATTCAGCTTGTCACTTACTATACCGCTCTACCCGTTTATAATAGAAACCTCAGCACAAGAGGATTAAATCTTGATTTCGGTATTCTCCGTCTTCCATGGCAACTGTGGCGAAAAATAGTCACTGTGTATTTGGTGTTAGGAACCAAAATATATTTAAAAAAAAACAGTGGATAAAAGGATCACGTGGTGTTTAGTTTTCAGCATAGAAACGAGAAAAATGAGTATTTTTCAGTTCCGTTTAGTGATTCCTAGTTTTCCAAGTTCTCTGTGAATGCATAGTTTCAGCTAATCTGTCGTACATGTGAAATATTTCTTGCACTCTAGAACAATACTGGCACACCGTTTGGTTTCTTTATTGTGTAGTTGCAAATAATATAGGATAAACGAAATGAAATGGAGTGACGTTCTAAAACCCCTAAAAAAACCAGTGTATGTCGTCTGAGAAATTAAATTTGAAGCCACATTTGACCGTTAAAACTAGGCTACTGGACAAAGGGCTGATTGTGTGGTATATAATTAAAATAAATAAAATATTAATATAGCTTTTTCATTTTTCAAAAGCAAATTAGCTAGTGAGCCAAAGTTTGCACCCAAACAACAAGAAAATTAAAGGAAATAAAAAATGCCAAATACTTTCATTTTTTTTCTGCATACAAGTGTGACCAGACAAAAGCTATTCGATTAACATGGTATCACAACTAAAATTGTTAATATGACCAAGAATATTGCTTACCTTAATAATCTAATAACATTGTCTGGCGGTCCTTCAGGAAGAAATTTTAAATATCGTATGAGAGTTTCTTTGTTTCAATATCATCAATGAGTTTTCGGCTTAAAACAGACGATAACAAAAAAAAAAAACTAAAACATTATACTTATAGCACACGTATACGTTTTTCGTTTGTTTGGTTTAGAGCAAAATCACATTGGGCTATCTGCTGTCTCCACCGCGGGGAATCGATCCTCCGATTTTAGGGTTGTAAGCCCGTCGACTTAATGTTGTTCTCCGGGGAAAATAAGCTCTTTGTTTGTTCTTATTTTATCTCTCTGAATTTATTACAAGCTCATCTCCAATAAACAATTTTCATGTAGTTGACTATGTTCAAAATATTTATAATGTTTCAACATAAAGTTACATTCGTTTTCTACTTTATCTATTTCTGTCTCTGTTTTGGAAATAATTAATATTTGTTTTTACGTGTGTTTTATTCGTAAGCATAATATGAGATTGAATTATTTTTGCCATATTGTATTTTTAAACACAACATGCTTTATTGAGTCCCTTGGGGTTTTTCCCGAGAATAATGTATAATAGTATTTCAACAACACCATGACAAATATAATTGGTTATAGTCTAGCCTCACCAGCTTAAAGGCGTTCTCACCAGAACATCAATATGTTTTGATAAGTTAGTCTAAAGCTACTTGGTATCCAGATTTAGAGATTCACCTTCTCTACAGTATCGCTGATAGCAATATAATGAATCTTTTGATACTCTCAAAAACATCGACACTCTCTGTTGGCAGCTAGATCTTTACACATAACTTTAGATATTCTCATAGACACTAACACTCTGTGATGGGAGCTAGATTTCACACATAACTTTAGATATTTTCATAGACACTAATACTCTCTGTTGGCAGCTAGATCTTCACACATAACTTTAGATATTCTCGTAGACACTAACACTCTGTGATGAGAGCTAGATTTCACACATAACTTTAGATATTTTCATAGGCACTAATACTCTTTGTTGGCAGCTAGATCTTCACACATAACTTTAGATATTCTCGTAGACACTAACACTCTGTGATGGGAGCTAGATTTCACACTTAACTTTAGATATTTTCATAGACACTAACACGCTTTGTTGGCAGCTAGATCTTCACACATAACTTCATATATTCTTGTAGACATTGACACTCACTGATAGCAGCTACATGTTTACACGTAATAATAATATTAGTAATACTTAGAACCGCTCTTACTAATTCTACATCAGTTCTGAGATCAGCAGGACTAAACTTGACAGGCAGATTTGGGGTGGCGTGGAGGTGTCTGTTTATGGTGTACCCCCAAGATGATACCGGTGAGGGGGGGGGCTAAAACACCACCCGAAGGTAACCCAGGTATGCTGGATGTCTAAGAGTAGGTTTTCAGGATCGCTATACCCGATTCTGCTATCGGATTCTATGTTCCTGGTCCCACTCGGATCACGAGGGCACTCACAAGCAAGCGGGACCAAACTTGGGGGTAACTATAAGAGTAATTGGGGGTAAAGGAAGAGCTTGATCGGTACATTGGAGCCGCTGCGAAACTAAGGGGCTTTTGAACTCCGCAGGAGAACGTGTGTATCTTATGCTAGTTACAACTAATGATGATAATAGTGATTTATTCGTTACACATGTAAAACAGAATATATCAATAGAACATATATTTACTGAATCTTTCAGATTTTTTTTTATCTACTAGTTAATCTTCAATTTCACAATGTTTATAACACATCTTAACCGATTTATGATTACATCATGTTGGGCTAGCACTAAATTTCCGGACTTAAAATTCTAAAATTCGGGGTTTTATTCTCCGTAGTGAACAGAATACCGATAGTCCATTGTGTAGTTTTGCGCAACAAACAACAATAAGTAAAAACAGATAGGCCTGGCATGGCCTGGTGGTTAGGGCGTCCAACTCGCAATCTTCAGGTCACGAATTCGAACCCCGTCACCGAACATGCTCGCCATTTCAACCTTAGGGACGTTATAATGTGACGGTCAATCATACTCTTCGTTGTTCAAAAGTATAACCCAAAAGTTGGAAGAGAATGGAGTCGATTGGCTGTCTTTCCTGTAGTCTATCACTTCAAAAATAGGGGTAGCTAACGCAGATATCTTTCGAGTAGCTACACGCGAAATTCAACAAACAAAGAAACAAATGTATATTTTTCGCTTAGCCAATCCAGTGGTATTCTCGATAGTTTCATGTTGTATAACATTTTCAAATATCGTTACTGATGTTTTTGTTTGAAAAAAAAATTTCTTGTGAAAAAAAAAAAGGATTTCGTTTACTATCTGAATACCTGAAGTTAATGTCATAACACGTATCTGTTTATGACGTTGTAGCTTTTATTTATTATTATTTACAAAACATTATCTTAGAAATCCTATCTGTGAAGAGTTTAATTTTGCATTTACGTTGAGTGTCGGTTCTTCCGAAGTGAGATGTTTGTAAAATTCACTAGGTCACTAAGAATAAAGACCCAAGTAACTTTGTTTTCGAAAAGAAGAAAAAAAATGATGAGACCAAATGTGACTCGACTTATTTTGCTTTCTTCTGCTTGGTACTACCATGAATATTCTAGTTCTAAGTGTTAATCTTGGTCACTAAGAATAAAGACCCAAGTAATTTGTTTTCGAAAAGAAGAAAAAAATGATGAGACCAAATGTGACTCGACTTATTTTGCTTTCCTCTGCTTGGTACTACCATGAATATTCTAGTTCTAAGTGTTAATCTTAGGCCCGGCAAGGCCAGGTGGTTAAGGCACTCGACTAGCAATCTGAGGGTCGCGGGTTAGAATCCCTCTCACACCAAATATGCTCGACCTTTTAGCCGTGGGGGCGTTATAATGTGACGGTCAATCCCACTATTCGTTGGTAAAAGAGTAGCCCAAGAGTTGGCGGTGGGTGTTGTTGCCTTCCTTCTAGTCTTACACTGCTAGATTAGGGACGGCTAGCGCAGATAACCCTGTGTAGCTTTGCGCAAAATTCAAAATCAAACAAGTTAATCTTGGTCAACAGAACATAAGTGTAGTAATCTAAACTTCTTTGATTTTTCCAACAGGGTATAATTCAATTTTTTTTATTATTTATTTCACCAGCCTGAAACATGTTAATGCAAACAAATCTGGACAACTAGTAACTATACACCTTCGTAACCGTAGTTGATCACAAATGGATTTATTTTATCTTCTATCACCATTTTAATCTCTTCATCCTAGTCCGCCTTTTTTTTCTCGAGACTCATTTCTTATCGTATTAGTGTGCTCATTTTATATAAATAACAAATACGAGAGACATGCCAGAACAAACGCCTCTAACTATAGCAATCACAGACGGGATGTTCGTTTCCAGATCAAACAACGTCAAAAATACCCCGATGCATAACGATGTGTAACATGCATAACGATGTGTAACATTCAGGTAGCCACTTTAACTGAATAGATTTCGCTATACATCATTCCCGAGAAGTTCTTAAAAATTTAATTTAGCAACAAATAAAATTTCAAGTAGAGGTTTAATAAAGAAAACTACAAAGTGATCATTTGGTTGAATGTAAATATCTATTGTCATTCATTAGGTTTGATTCGGCAGCATTGTTTCAATTGTTTGTAAGTTTGAGCATTAGGCTAGTTTTTCACGTTTGGTCAGCTGTTTCTTCTTCTTTCTTCCGCTAGTCTCAACTTGATTTTTGTTAGTGCACTCATTTTTTGATGGTATTAACCGCGCAGAATAAAATAATAATTAATCATAGAATATACTTTTTTTTTATAGAATAATGTTCATATTTTTAACATAGGTCAGTTCATGCATATTTCTTAAGTTTTCAAATTCATAAAACAATAGTATTTCGGGAGTAGAAAAACAGAGATTGTTAATAACCTTTATTTTATTTTATTATTTTTAACGTTTCCCATTTTGTCTTTTGAAATGTATACGTCATTTTTATAGCTATAAAGTCATTGTATATATATTTAGTAGAACAAAAAAGCTAGGTGAATATATTTTCATGAATTACATTATTTCTATTAGTCCCATCCTAATTGGACAGAGAGTTACCTAATCGTTAGCGTTCAGGGTTTCCAATGGTCACACAACTATACTGCTGACTTCACTTTGCATTTAAGCTGTATTTCTGCGGAATTACATCGCTAGAAATCGCGTTTCGATACCCATGGTAGACAGAGCACAGATAGCTCATTGTGTAGTTTTGGGGTTAAATACAAACAATATCTATTAAAAGCAGGATGTATTTCTGGGAGATTTTTTTTACGTTTTTTTTTCTTTTCACGATCATAACGGTCAGTAAAACTAAAGTTTTCATTGTGTTCATAATGTGTAGCCACTATGTTAAGTCAGTCGGTGACTCAGCGATAAGCAGGAAGGCTCATAACGGTCAATAAAACTAAAGTTTTTATTGTGTTCACAATGTGTAGCCACTATGTTAAGTCAGTCGGTGACTCAGCGATAAGCAGGAAGGCTCATAACGGTCAATAAAACTATAGTTTTCAATGTGTTCATAACGTGTAGCCACTATGATAAGTTAGTCGGTGGCTCAGCGATAAGCACGAAGGCTCATAACGGTCAGTAAAACTATAGTTTTCAATGTGTTCATAACGTGTAGCCACTATGATAAGTCAGTCGGTGGCTCAGCGAAAAGCATGAAGGCTCATAACGTTAAAATGAAATCCCATCCCCAATGGTCACCTACACACTGAAGGTCCAAAGTGGTGTCTTATGAGGTCAGAAGTCATGATACGTTTCGAGGTGATCGAATAAATTATATTAAAAGTGAATGTGTTTAAAAAAACAAAAGGCAAAAAATACGATTTTAATATTTTTAAGCTTACGGCAATATTCATTTTGATAGTATGATTGATTTGACGTGACTGAAGAAAGCTAGATAAGTCACTCAAGTTATCAAAGTAGTGCTCTGTTCCTAGCAGTAAAGCTAATATACTTTTATGATATACTTACAGACATATTGATTGTAAGTGAACAGAGGTGATCATCTCTTTATACAAGACACTAATTAAGCCTCACTTAGAATATTGTGTACAAGTTTGCTCTTAGGATTTCAGCTGAGAAAGGATATTGATTTATCGGAAATTGTGTCAAAAGATGGCTACTAGGATGAATTCGGAAATGAAAGTGTAATCTTACAGAGATATGTTAAGATTCCTTATCATATTTTCTCTTGAGAAAAGAAGTGTAAAAGGCGATTTTATTGAAGTTTAGGAGAGTTATCCGTAGAATCAATAAAATAAAGACCACTATTTTTGTTTTGCTATATTATGAAGCTAGCAAGACATTTACATGCAAAGGAAAGTTTCTAAACATATGTACATGAGTAAAAAAAACAGAAAAAACCCTTTTATTTCTTCAATTGTGGAACAAAATTCGGTTCACAAAGTCCTAAAACTAATTTTTAACCTAACCAGTTTCAGGTTTTACTCTAAAGGTAGGACTATTATTTACCTGAATGTTACTTGTTACCTATGAAACATTGCGGTCTCCACAATGTATGCATTTTATAAAGTCAAATTTTAGCACGAATATTACAGGAACCATTCGAAACCCAGTAAGTAATCTTATAATAATTTGAAAATATGAACTTTGCTTTTCTATTTGCATTTGTTCAATATCGCGATATGAATAGCAACCGATTACGGAACTTACATAACCCCATAAGCCGTAAATATCGCCAGAGGGTGTTAAACCAAGAGTAAATTTTCCAGTCGGACATAGCGTAAACAATCCATGGTGTCGCACTGTGCAAAATTAAACACACTGTGAATATGCAGTGTTCTGTTTATTACGTGTAATATACCGTATTCTTTCTTTGTGAAAAAATCAAACACACTGTGAATATTCAGTGTTCTGTTTATTACATGTAATATACCGTATTCTTTCTTTGTGCAAAAATCAAACACACTGTGAATATGCAGTGTTCTGTTTATTACATGTAACATACCGTATTCTTTCTTATTGTTTCTTTTTTTCTAAATTCTCTTCCGATATGTTTTTGTGTAAGAAACCTCCTTTTTTTTAAATACTGACTGAATCATCTTAAATCGAAATATATTTTCCTTTTTTTGTATTATGTGATAATCTCAGACAGAGCCTTGATAGTTTTGACCTATTCACTGCTTAGTGCCATTTTCAAAATCTGCACGTCCATTTCAAATCTTCTGAAAGTTGTGACGTGTAAGGAGGCTGCTGTGGAGGATTCTTTGTTTGTTTTAGGATATTCATGCAAAGCTACTCCAGAGCTACCTGTACCAACAGTTCCTAATTTTGAGGTGACACTTTGTTTGTTTGTTTGTTTTAAGTTATGCACCAAGCTACACAATGGGCTATCTGTGCTCTGCCCACCACGGTATCAAAACTCGGTTTCTAGCGTGGTAAGTCCGCAGACATACCGCTGTGCCACTGGGGAGCTTGAGGTGACAGACTATATCGAAAGAAGCCAGTAAACAGTAACCATCGCCAAAACATGGACTATCTAATCGTATAGTGAGACTTGGCTGTCACTCTTTGTAACGACTCCACATTGCACAGCGGCGATGGAAGGTGAACCATGATTCATCGTCCGTTACCCTAACCCTAGACAGCTCTTAGCCAGATGTGATATCGTTTGCTGCAGACTGGCTATCCTCCCTCTGCTCAGTGTCTTAAAATTAGGAATGACTATGTTTTAACTCTAGGGCTCTTTACCCCAATTGAAGGTTGACGGTTTGGATTATAATTTAATTACTTACAAAATATAAGCCATTGGTCTTTAATCCCTAAATTATGTCTTCCACTAATTATTTCCACTAATTCTAATTATTTATCTAAGTATCTTAAAAGATTGTTTATTGTTAAGTGCACATATACACAATGGGCTAGTTGTGATGAGCCCACCACGGTTTTTAGAGTTATAAACACTTAGACTTACCATTGAGTCACTTACCGTTGAGTCATTTACTCATTTGATATTATTTTTCTGAACCAGCATATATTCTACCTATGCTATCGGGACAAGCTAAATGTTTTCTGTACTTCAGAAATGAGCATAAACTGAAGAATAGATTGATCTTCAAAAATGTACGATTCTCTTGTCCCCCCCCCCCCCCCCCGGGAGGTAAGCGGTGCGTTTAATGATTAAAAACGCTAAAATCCGGAGATCAAATTACCGGCGGCGGAC